GGGGGGGGGGGGGGGGGGGGGGGGGGGGGGGGGGGGGGTGTACTCATGGTCGTGCATGCCGTAGTCGTTAGACCATTGACTCGCATCCCTAAAAAGCCGAGACGGCGCACGCCGGGTTTTCACCGACCAGGCTCTCACATCAACAATCGCAAAGCGCCGTGAGGTATTCGGCGAGTAGCATCTATGGTATATGACTATAACAACCAACGATTGGATGCTGACAGAGGAGCGCACATAGTAAAAATGGTATAGGAGAGGAACGCAGAGCTGTTCGACCACTTGGATGGTTTTCAAAGTATGCAGGCGTACTGGAGCATCCCGGGGNGGTCCCGCAGCATCTAGGGGGGGGGGGTGTACTCATGGTCGTGCATGCCGCGTTCGTTAGACCATTGACTCGCATCCCTAAAAAGCCGAGACGGCGCACGCCGGGTTTTCACCGACCAGGCTCTCACATCAACAAGCGCAAAGCGCCGTGAGGTATTCGGCGAGTAGCATCTATGGTATATGACTATAACAACCAACGATTGGATGCTGACAGAGGAGCGCACATAGTAAAAATGGTATAGGAGAGGAACGCAGAGCTGTTCGACCACTTGGATGGTTTTCAAAGTATGCAGGCGTACTGGAGCATCCCGGGGACAATCTAGGACCTTTTCCGCCCCACCTTGCGCCCCACCTTGCGCCCCATTTTCATCACGCTCGCATATGACAACCGGGGTGGAGCCCGCTGTCTTACTCGCAGGGCAGGTCGGCACCATCACAAGGGAGGTAATTTGCCAGGACAGCGCGGGATTTATTCACGGTGAGTCCTCTGAGTACCGCAACGTCATTACCTCGTGACGGCAAGACCCCGGGGTAGGTGCGAGCCGAAATCCGACTACCCCGCACGTCGCAGGCGGGTCTGTCTCGCTGGAGTGGGGGCCCTTCCTGCCGTCGCGTGTGCCGTCAGTACATGTCTCAGGCTCTCTTGGGAATAAATCCGCTTGGAAAATGGTCTCGTGTACGCAGATTACTCGCCAAATACGCGGATCATAATCTCACCCGCCAGCGAGGGGGCCTCTCCCAGAGGCAGCAGCAGCAGCAGCAGCAGCGTTTGTTTTTGTTTTTNACCCGCCAGCGAGGGACCCTCTCCCAGAGGCAGCAGCAGCAGCAGCAGCAGCGTTTGTTTTGTTTTCTCAAAAAAAAAGTTCATGCGCATGTTTTTCGCCTCGGATGAAAGTGGGGCGTGCGCAACGCCAGAACACGCCGATGACGATTAGACCAAGCTTATGGCTTCCAGCATATGCTCGGGTTCAACCTTGATGCTGTTGTGTAGCGACCACCGAGTCCAATTCAGTGCTAGACCAAAATCTCCAAACTCGCCGCCGCTGCCAGAGGCATGTGGTGGCCCTGGTTGTGGCTATTCATGCCGTACCTGTTTCCAGTTCGGTGGCAGCCTCGCTCTTGAGGTTTGGTGGAGTTTGTTGTTCTACCTCCCGTAAGGTACAGAAGCAGGTTATGGGTTCGAGTCCCGACGGAGTGATATTTTTTCTCGCTAATTAAATCCTGGTCTCTGTTGGAAACGACGCGCTGCAAAGCTCGTTGTTAGTCTAGTAACGTTGATCGACTTTATATGTCGCGAGGGAAGGGATTGTNTCGGGTTCAACCTTGATGCTGTTGTGTAGCGACCACCGAGTCCAATTCAGTGCTAGACCAAAATCTCCAAACTCGCCGCCGCTGCCAGAGGCATGTGGTGGCCCTGGTTGTGGCTATTCATGCCGTACCTGTTTCCAGTTCGGTGGCAGCCTCGCTCTTGAGGTTTGGTGGAGTTTGTTGTTCTACCTCCCGTAAGGTACAGAAGCAGGTTATGGGTTCGAGTCCCGACGGAGTGATATTTTTTCTCGCTAATTAAATCCTGGTCTCTGTTGGAAACGACGCGCTGCAAAGCTCGTTGTTAGTCTAGTAACGTTGATCGACTTTATATGTCGCGAGGGAAGGGATTGTTGTACCCTTCTCGCGATAAAAATATATCTGGCAGGAACCGCAGGAGGGGGTCCAACCCTCCCTCCTGTGTGACCCCGGTTGGGTCGTCTGGCTGGCAGAAGTGGAGGATAGGGGCCAGAGGGGCAGACGACAGAGTCCAACAATGGGAGGAAGATAAAAATAGAAATCAAGAAAAGTATGAAGCTCAGACCCATGAAACAGTTTTTGTGTTTGTTCCTCGTAATGTCTTCCACTCCCCCTTTCCCCTCCCAGGGGTGCCGATATGGAATGGATACGGAGCGCCGTTTTCGGCGAGGACACCCCATCACCTGTCAGGGTTGTTACGAGGCTGTTTACGGTGATGATTTACCGCGTGAAATGTTTATGGCGTCCATTGTCGTGTTGTAGTCCATGACACTGCGCAATATTTTTCGCTCCGTCTTCGTTCGCTTGAATTGCCCAACTGGTGCGGCAACATCGCGCCTCGTTCCCCCACTTGTCTCAATGCCCATGACTCGCATGGTTGCGGTCATCGATATAGTGAGTCGTCTCCGCGACACCAGTAATCATCTTATAGATCGCCCCGTCCGTAACGCTTTGGGCATCATTCTCGCACACTGATGACAGGCGGGCGGCGAGGAGAAAGAGGACAGCGATGATGCAGGAACACATCGCGAGATGTATCCAGGGCGCAAAAGTAAGTTGAAGCCTGGGTTACCCAAGAGTCGAACGAGCCTCAGCAGTGACTACTAGAGTGCATTTTCTGTGTTATCTTTTCATACTTTGTTCTGCGGGGTGTTGCTCCGTCGGTCATGACCGCTTGATGTATCGCCCCGTTCATACCCCGACGTCATTTCCGGTCAAGTTGAACTCTCCGGATGCTCCCTAAGAAAACAGAATGCGGCTGCGTCATATAGTTTCCCCCCTTGTACTCTCGAATGCTGTTCGGCGCAAGGGCGCGGAGAGGACTCCGACGATGAGGAGAATGACGACGACACGGAGGGTTCGGACGAAGAGGCGGAGCGCGACAAGCACATGGTCCGCGATATGCATGATACCGTNCGGACGAAGAGGCGGAGCGCGACAAGGACATGGTCCGCGATATGCATGATACCGCCGCGGAATATGGTGATGTTCGGGTGAGATCGCCATGTAGATCGTAGTCTGCTCGCGCAATTCAGGCTAAGCACGAAGTATCAGCCAATGTATCCAGTTGGCGTGAACTCGCATAGTCGTATCAGCTTTCTTCGTTTAGTTGAACGACTGATCAACATCGCAACGAGGGTCTATTGGTTACAAGCTGTTCACCCGCGCATTTTGTGTTTGTCCACGGCCGTCTGGATCACCACGCGGCGGGATGACGACCCCTCCGTACAAAATCTTAGGGTGTACGTGCGGAGCCAAATCGCGAGCGGTCGTCACGGAGACCTAGACGGCGTCAAGAAAAGGGTGTGGGAGAGGGTGGACCCTCTCTTCTTCGAGGGGCGTAGACGCTGGCTCGGCCCGCTTTGGAAGCAGGTCAAAAATCTTCCCCCGACCACGCGCTTGATTTCCGACGCTTGGAACGGCCACGTCGACGGAGTCGCCGCCTTAGAACACTGTGAGGCCGATACTAAGGCGGCGACTGCGTTCACCTTGACCCGCTTTGCTGGCTTGGAGGGTAGACTCCGGGCGTGGATAAGTCAGCCGGCAGTTTTGGAGGGGGTTTCGAGGCTACCAGGAAGAGAAGGCGTTGCACTACCTATCGTGCATCATCAATCACGTGGAGGAGGTGGGTTGAAACGGTATTCAGTTAGCGAGTTGGGCATTTGTGGAAGTGCTTGCGTGTCATCTCCGCATCCGTGTGTGAACAAGTTAAAACTTCCATCCTCCTGCATCTGCACGGTACTGCGGTGATTGTAGGTTTGAGAGAGCGCGCCGTGTGTTTATTTCTGGTAGGAATTGGTGTGTTGGAGCTACCACCAATTCCTGGCGCTCGGGTCTAGAATCAACCATCCGATTTCATCTTGTTAATATGTATTCCACGGCCAAGTAGCTGAGGTACTCTCCCCATGCCCGCGCTCCTCTGATCGAACCGTTCCCCATCCCCTCCCCTTAATGCAGGAGTTGTACCAGGTGTACGTGAAAGAGCGCAAGGATTCCGTGGCCGTGGAGCTCTCTTACCCGAGTGAAAGGTATCAGATCACAAAACCGCGCGGGTAAGTCCTGTACCACATTGCCGGGTGGGCGGCCAGCAAGGCTTGGACGCATCAAAGAAGACACAACCTTTCCCAGGATTGGGTGCGTGTCGTCCAACACAACACTCGCCGGTCCAGTGGGGAGGCGATATGTACTGATTCTATGCTGAGAGATTCAGTGGCAAAAGTCGATTCGAAGAACGATATGAAGAACGGTCCGGGACTTCTTTACCCTACGATGGAGTGGGTAGAGTTCGTGTACGCCGTGGAGAGGGGCATATTCCATTTTTTGAAAAAACCCATCTTCCTTGCTGCTTGCCTCGGAGACTTGCCAGCCGAGATTTTCAATGTAGTACGCGAGGCGGAGGTTGTCAAGGAAATGTGGGGAAAGTGCTGCCCCTCTGGTCCTCCTGCCATCGATCCTAGTGTATCTCAAGAGATGTTTCTTTCCGTTGTCGGGAAAATCCTCAACGTGCGATTGGGTGATTTCGCGAAGAGTGTAAGGGAGAATACTTCCCTCAAGTTCTCGAAGGTCGCGCCTGCTTTGCGGCAACAGCTCAAGGCACGTGTCGGGCCAAATGGAAGGACGGGGGCCGATAGTGGCGAAGCAAAGGGGGTTGCACAGGGGGGCGAGGCCGCAGGAGGCGGCGGGGAGGGCGGTGCAAAGCGCCGAAAGGGGGGACGTGCGCGGAGGCAGGCCCCACCCACCCTGAATCAGTTGAAGGGGATGTCCCGGGTGGATATTAGCGATAGGTGCACTGTAAGACAACTTCTCTTGCTCGTAAAGGACGCCGGGATTAAGAAGGGCACAATGAACTCAAGACAAGATGATCTCCTCGATTACCTGGCGGCGTATGTGGGTGGGTTCGGGCAGGAATCTGTTGAAGGGGCAGGCCCCAGTGCGACAGGGAGTGGTCCAGCCGAGGGATGATGCGGGGGGCGCGGTGGTGAGAACGCGGGTAAGGGTAACGCCCCGACAGATAGTGGGGAGATGGTCTCTGTCGGTAGTGATTTTACGACGTCAGAAGTGCCTGCGCAGGACGGAAGGGACGACGACGGTTACCTTTCCCGACCGGTTACGATCGATTTCTCGCTGTCGGTTTTGGAGGGGGCCGGAGTGCCTAGCGGGGGTGGCTCTTGAATAATCTTCCGAGGCAGAAGGTGAAAGTTGGTCTGTCCGTGGTGTCGGCTTTCGTTTCGTCATGTTGTACCGTTCATGGCTCAGGACTACCATCTTATATGAGTGCATGTCGAAGTTGGCGTGGACTATTCTTCTAGCCACTAGGAGCGCCGGCGTGTTGCGCACCTATTCCGCGTAATAGACTTTCTCGAGGTACAAGTATTGTGTATGGGTGTAAACACTGGTCGTTCCCCCTTGCCGGAGCCATGCCAGTCAGCGGGGATTCTCTTCGTTCCCGTAATCAGCCGAGAGCGTTGCAGTGGCAAAGTGGGGTTGAACTGCGTCCAGTTATTTCTTCGTGTAAATTGACAAGGAAAGCATACAGTAACCATCCTGAATGTCTTCAACACTGGTTGGTGAACCAATTTGACCTGAAATAGCTACCTTCCTACCGCCCGGGACAAATCATCCTCAAGGCTGTGTTGGTGAAGAATCCGAAGTCGGTCCGATATGTGAACACCCGAAACAATGGACAGAGGACTATTGACAAAAACAGAGAGGATATAGGGGGGGCAAGAAACAGAGAGGCTTCGTCCGTGAGCATCAAACACCCGGTGATTAAGGCGGAGGGAGACATGACGAACCTCCAATGAAAAAAAAAGACAAGAGAGAAAATTTCCAACAACACGAAACCAGAAAGATAGCAAACTCGACTACGGGAGCAATACGTCTGCGGATTTTGCGTGACAGGGAAGTCAAACTCACACGTGCTCCGAACACTGTTGGGGTGAGCCTCCCACCCCGATAAAAAAAAAAAATCAGGACCCGGCTCCGCTCGACAAGGGGGGCACCAGACTCGCTCCTCCCTACAGTCCTGTCTGTTTCATGTGCGTGGGCAAGCCCAGTGCTTCCGCAAAGCTACGTAACATGGCACGCATAACTCCAATTGCTGATTTCCGGAGGGAAATTCGAAATACCTGCAATCTTCTAGCTCTCTCTCTCTTCACCTCTCTCCTGCGTCTACTTGACCAAAAACAACCAAGGGTACCTCTTTCCCTTATAAACCTCTCGAGGGTTACGGGTTGTTGTTGTTTGTTGTTTCTCACATTAGCTCTAAAAAAAAAAANACAGCTGAAAAAGGGTTCCTCGAGGGCGCCCGCATCGAAGCTGACCGCTCGGGCGTCGGTCACTGGGAGCATGATCCCTCCCCGGATCCCGGCCGCGATGAAGTCCTCCCCTTTCCACGCATTCTTATTGTGGTTCGCGCGGGAAACCCCGTGCAAACTGCGTTGCAGGTCCCCTCGTGCTGCCCTTTCCTTCGCTTGCGCAGCTGTCGGGTTGCTGTGCGACCCAAGATCTTGGCGCATGTGCCCGTACCGGTGTTCCACGATATCCTGTGGGAGGGGGGGCGGGGGGGCAGAAGGCGGAGTGGAGGGTCAGGGGCGGGGGCGGGGGTGGAGTTGACGCTGGGGATACGCTTCTCGGATGGGATGCTTGTTCTAGTCACAGACTGAATAAGACGGAACAAACTATGCCGCATCTCGGGCCGGCCTAGGCTGTTTGCACGTAATACCTGGCCCATGTAGCGAAGGTTGATGAAGTGAGGAACATCGCTCAGCGGGGAGATCTTGAACCTCGACTCTTTCTCGAACAGGTATCGACACATTGACGGTGCCGAAAATTGGACACCCGTATGTCGGTCTACGAGTGGTCGGTGATGAAGTGTGCCTTCCAGGCGCAGTCGCCCAACGTCGATCTAGCCTCCAGCGAGGCCCGCCACTCGCCCAAAAACCGCAGGATGTCCATGAGTTCTTCTAGTTTCGAGTCGTCGGCCGATCTAATGTACCCCGCCATCTTGTCGAGGCCGTTCTTGCGCGCGTAGTCCGATCGGCCGAAGTTCCCTGCTTGTCGACAATAGATGTGTCGCAGTCGACGTGTGGAGAATTGAGTATTGCTTGCCGAATACCGTACTCTCTGTGTGGGGGTGTTGACGTTGTCCGGGATCTCTGCGGGCGGCCAGTCGCTCTCTCCCCACAGAATGCGTCTTGTCAACTGCCTTGTTTGTCTGTCACTCATGCCTGCTGCTGTACGGTTCTTTTCCCCCGTTTCTCGTGAACGATGACAGCTCTACCCGTCGTACGTGACGGAGCGTCTCCGAGTGGCCTTGGAGGCGTCCGAGAGGCGCATGCCAGGCTTCGTGTCCAACGAGGCGTTGCTTCACGGAGTTGAGACTCGGACGAGCTCTCTTGTTCAGGTACATCCGTCCAGCCGAAAGGACTACCGCTGCCGGCGGTGTGTGGCGCGCTTCTAGCAGACGGTGCTTGTGTGGTAAATCATTCCTGGAGGGTATAAGATGTGCAGACAAACGCTTTAGTATGCGCTTGCGGCGATTGGTGTTTCTCTTGGCAGGGAACAAGCTGATTTGCGCGGCGGCCGTGGTGGGGGTGAAATCCCCTTCTACGATTTGGATGACGGACGGAAATCGGAGACCTCTGCTGTAGTTTTGGCAACTCCCTCAAAACGGAGAGTTGAGCTGACCTATTTTTCCATGCGAACGTTCACCCGAGCGGGAATGAAGTCCTTCGGGAACCACGCGTGAAGATTCACATTCGAACGGAGTTTGATGGCACGAACATAGGTTGGCTTTTCATGAATCCGCACGCTTGTGCCCCACTGCGGAGCACAGCCAATTTCATCCATTCCACAGCTTTCACATTTCAACGAACTCGCTTTGAGACCTGCGACACATGGTCGGAGCGTCCCAATACCCCAACCTGCAGTGTTGAGTAAATATGCCATCACCTCATCCCGTCACCTGTGTTTTCGGGTGCCGCGTGCTTTGGGTCAGGTGGAGAGGAATGCTGATACGCTGGAGTGTCCGTCGATGGAAGGCTTGTTCCCCACGGGAGAAGGCGCGGGATACGCTGGTGAGAACGCATATGCACTGCTCTCGTTTTGAATGCCGCGGGGGGTTGATGAAGTGGTGTAGTGTCCGTCCATGTACCATTCAATCATTCCAGTCGACTGTTCGCTGCAATTGGGGAGGAAATGCGATGGTACGCCCAGCGTCACGATGGTATTGCTGGTTCCAGTCATGCCGGCTCACTCGAGGAGGGCTAGCCAAGGGCAGAATGCCGGAGTCGACCTGTATTCTGGCTACTTGCATCGGCACCAGAAGGATCACCAAAGCAAGCCTACACGATTTCGTTGAAGGCCGGCATATTGCGTCGTCAATGTTGACAGGTACCGGTTGTTCGACCGCATCGCTGACTCGACGTTTGCATTTTTTGCATACTACGCCCTCGCTGTGCTTTCTTTGCACACAATACTTTCTGGCGAAGTTGAAGGTGGAATCGTGAGCGCTGCCGTTGACGGCATCCGTGTGGGACAGTCTGTGGCGATGCAAGTCTTGTCAGCTGCGATGTCGGCAAGAAATTAGAAGAGGTCTAACTACCTCGGGAGTTTCGGTGGTCGGTTTGGGTAAACGAGCCCTGCCCGGTTGTAAGTTGTCGGAGATACCCCTACGGACAAGATGTTTGTCCACACTTCTCGGATGTGTTTCGGTCTGTCGCGGTCTTTCATGAAGATTCTGGCATACTTGAACAAGGTAAACGCACATGAGGGATTCCATCGCCTGGGGCTTTTCGTGTGACACCGGGAGCGAGCGCCGTGCCGCACCACTCGTGGGTGGGCTGTTGCACGCCTTGCTACCCCTTTAACCCAACACAGTGTTTCGCCTGGGAAGCGTGGGCGCCCGATCTTTCGTTTATGATGACGTTTGTTTTCAGCATGATCGGTGTTTGCCTGAGCTCTTGCGCTAAATATGACGGTGTCTTCGTGAGTGCGATAGCTAAGGTGATGTTGATATTTTTGCACAATAATAGAGTTTATGGTTCCATGCTCTAGGCATGCTGTTGACAGGAAAAGCCCTGCCTGTAGTCTGTCCTGTCCTTGAACCAGAGGAATACGCATCATCGATGCATCACGGACACCACTTTTTGCACTGTCGACACTTCCACGCTCGTATTCTACGTATTCCGTTCCGATCCTGGCTTGCTACGCTCTTGCAACGAGGTAATAGGGTACTACAATGAATACCTACCTGTTGTTCCATACCCCTCTTCAATCTACTCGTCTCTGCATAGTGATCCCACACCACGTCAGATTAGTTATGAAATGTAGCTATAGTTTCGAGTCTGCTACGTGACTACTCTACCCTCCATTGCCCATATTTGTTCGATCCTGCTACTTCTCTGCTGTACCCCTTCCTTCTGCTTCTCTGCTCTACCTCCACTCGTCCAGTTCTGTTGTTAATCTTACAGCTTTGCCGGACTGATATTGTTGATGATAGTCATGATGTGAAATGATACCTCATTTCTCCGGGGACGTGGGGATACGCGACCGGGCCGCCCACATCTGAGAAACACATTTCAGGTTTTCGCGAATGACGAACAACCAAATGCATACCCGGAATAAAACCAGTCTGGCAAACCGTGCGATTCGCGCTTGCAACACCTTTCACATCCTCTCGAACACTATGTCCCCGAGCTCGAAAATCGATGGCCTAACAACCAGCATGGCCCGCCCGCAATTCTCCCCACGCTTGCCTCGCACATGGCCCCATCACATGATGAGGGTTTGAGACTCTGATGATGCTTCCTTGCGAGTTCCAGATGTAGATGGGGAGTCGCCATCTGGAAACATGTGAACCAAGGCCGGACGGGCATGAGAATCGCGCAGTCAAAGCACAGCAGGCAGAAGCAAGCTATTTCCGGAGCATGCAAGCCGCTAGTCGTGGAAGAGGAGGCGGGACCGAGGTCAACGGGAATAATGCGGGAATGGCCCCAGTAGTCTGGTTGTTTGATCACTGGAATAGTTTAGTGCATGCAGCAACGATGTGTCGTTGTGAGGGTACAAACATACCTCTATTTACTCCGTAGGTAGCTACTAGGGGGAACGTTGGCCCCCCACCCCTCCATCGGGCGGGCGGCCAGCATGCGTGGGATGGATGCGGCGGTTCGATAAGCAGAGGAAGTAGACGCGACGGTGACATCGCTTCGGAAAAAGTATACTCGAAGTCGGCTTAGTCAGGCAAACGATGTGAGGTCGACAAGTACGTACGTCCGCTGCGTAGATCGGTGTTCTGCAAAATAAAATGAAAACGAAAGGGATTTTTTCGCAGAATGGTCGACACCCGATCACAACACGTGAATCGGACGGGGACGGAAGAAGAGGGTGGGGAATATTTTGAGGAGGGAGTGAGGAAAAAAGACGACGCCGTATGAAAGCGAGATGAAAGGCCGTTGTCACCGGTGGCCCTGCAAGCGTGGATGAAAGTTGCGGCGGTGCCGTATCCGTCCGTGCGAGTGGTGGCTGTGGCGGGCGAGATGGCGGACGTAGCGAATCCGTGTAATCACAGAGGATTGTGAAGAAGTGAATCGCCCCCTAGCCGGCCGGTCGGGTTCCGGTTACCCGGTGGAAGACTTCTCTTGCCTAGCAAAGAAGATGAAGTCTCGACGAGGGGGGAGTAATCTAGAGGCCACCTTCATCAAGAAAGGTGCTATACTATCTCCCCAATCTCTGTCGAGGACGACTCCTTCTTATCAGTTAGTCGGGAAATCAGGGAATATAAGGCAGGACGGTTGATATTTAAGACGCTTAGCAATCGCTTCGATGCATATATATCCAATTTATCATGCTTGAACGGGATAAAAAGCGGTCAAGTGAAAAATGTCAAACATAGGGGATAATAAGCTCATCATCCCCTCCCGTGAGCAGATTGATTCCGATACTGATCTCCGGAGAAAATGGTTCGTATCGTACGCGCCAAATATTACTCCTGAAGACTAGCACATTTGTCTCTTGATTTTTTTTTTACGTGTTTTTGGTGACATAAGCCACGTGTACAACCACATATTGAAGTGTCTTGAGCAATTCTTTGGTGTTGACCGGGACCAAACATTCAGGTTGGCAAACAATGAGCAAGCTGGAGGGGCTATGACGAAGTGAAGACATTAATTTATTCAGACTTATCGATTTATTATCGGAAAAGACATGTGTCTTGAGCGGAATCGAACTCGTGACCTTGCCTGTACGGAATCTCAGGGACAGGGGTCTGTCTGAGATGGAGAGAGGTGTATTGGTCCAGTTGAATATCTCCGCGGATGTAAGCGGATATCGGAAGGTGCGCCTAGGAATATTGAATGATGTGATTTCTTGTTTATCTTGCTATTGTGGACGGAGACATGGACCAACAACTCCGTCGTCAAGAACGACCACGTTGTTTCATATGTACATTGTGACATAACTATCCCGACCATTTTTCCGTCGTGGCAAACGATTTCTACATACACTCAAGCTGCAGTGAGGCACCCAATGTAGTTGTGGGACCCTGAACAACAGTGAACCGTCGGATGAAGTGGCGCATCCGAAGCTCTTGCCACGGCCTCTAACCGATAAACTGCAGACGATTGTCTTCCATTTTTCGGACGCGGCCCTCAACAGCAGCGTTATTTTAGGCCATCTCACAACCCCAATGTACGAACCAATTGCAAAGACCGGAACCCCGTACTACACCTACTTGGTTGCTCCAGCAGGTGGTTTCGCGTAAAATGCGAAGCGTCTTCACTCTAGCTTGTGATGTTACACCGAAGAATCATGACCCACAAGAGGACCAAAACATGTGCGTTCTTTGCTGCATAGCTCGCTCGTGTACATTGCCTTGCAGTCGGCCTTCTTCACAGAAATGTAGGTTTTTCATACGGAAGCTCTCGTCGGCGCTTGGCTTGGACGCCCAAGCGGAATAGATCCACATTTGTTTTATGGGCTCGATCCACGTCTGTCTGTCGTCATATCAGAGATTGATTGTTGATATCAATACGTCCATGATGATGATGATACGCTGGAGCACAAACGAGGCAGACCCACAGCGGCTATTTCACACGCTACCTCGGTAAGCGGAAAAGAAGGTCCAATGCCGCGCATACCGTCCGCTGGGGGGCAAACTGCCCTTTTGGCAGGAAGACAGGGAATCATCCCCTCTCTCGGCGAACCACAGGCCAGGAGTTCGAGGTCCGCCCTGACGTTCGTTGCTATCATCGCTGCGCACCGCAGGCAAAAATATAAAAAAAGTGAAAGTTTCAAGTGCTGCGACTGTCTGCGAATGAATGCGTTTCGATCCGCTGTGATCGTGCCCCGCGGGCAGGAAGTCAGGGGGGGCGACAACCCCCACTATTCGCCACACCGAGCCTTCGGGACAACGCCGCGTAATGCTTCGTATTTGTTGTTCTTGGCGTAGAATAAAAACCATTCATCTCACTCAGCGTGCTGGATGCGAAACCCAAAGGTAAAAGAAACCGCGTCTCAACAATATAATTACGACCGACTTCGGATGGTCCTTCCACCCGAAAAAAGGAGCTGAGGCTCGAGACATTTTTAGCGTTTCTTACCATCTGCGTGCCCGTTCTGTTCATTAGTTTTACAGAAGTGTTATCGGGGGCAGCCAAACGCATCCACCCTCACGCCAAAACAGAAAACCTACTGAAGTGTATGCGGTTGAGGTCCAAGTGCGGGGCCTCCGGGTGAGCACACGGTGGTGTGCTCTTGGCACTTGCCTGAGGGGCTTGCGTGACGAGAAAAAATATATAGGCTATAGTCCTTTTCTTCATCTGCTGTTCTTGGGATAATATAGTACCCAGTCTCAACGCTACAGACCGCTGAGGGCGGCAGTGCACACAAATACGATGATATCGTAGAGTGGAGCCTAGCTAGGCCAGGTGGTGGTTCGGCGATGGCGAGGGTATGAGCATTTTATGGAGCTGAGGGCTCGGAGTGTTTTTGTGTGGATGGCGACAGGCGGTTCCATACGAGTGATTTTACGAGGGTTAGAGGAACGAAGAGCATCGGCGGCAACGGCGAGCGCGCCGATGGGTTACGGCAGCGGAAGCTCCAGCATGTGTGCGGGGCCGATGCAACAGCAGCAGCAGCAAGGTATGGGTTGCACTCGCGATTGGAGGAATGTCGATGCGGCTGGTGGGTTTTATGTCGGCAGTGAGCCGAGGAGATTTCACGGGGCTCCTCAGTGTGATCGGTGTGGGCGTTCTGGACACGTGTCACGTAGAATCGCGGCGGGTATTGACAACCACCTAAGCCACCTCCCGCGCCAAAAGCTCGTTCTTCGGCAGTAAAACCAACCACTACGAAGATATTTAGGTATCAAACGAAGTCAGCATCACCACCTATCTATCTGTCCAAAAAAAAGAAAAAAAATCGTCGTTAGTGACGAGGCACAACTGTTTCCGTTTGTTTACCCGAGTTGAAGTTGAAGTCTTGAGGGTAAAACGGCCCGGGGGATATTAACAACCATTTTGACGATTGGTTGATTGCGGGGGGTTGAAACCGTTTCAAGACCCCAGAATCGGCACACATGCGCCCAACACATTGGTTGTGAAGAAAAATTACTTTTTGTTTTTTTCTGTGCTATGTTAAGGAGTGGTGCTGTATGGCACAAATAGGGTACACAGTCGGTCTAGATTAAGATGGGGGACGTCAGGAGGTATTATATTGCGCTGAGCCCTCTCAGGCAAGATTAGAAATCTCGCTTCGCTCGAATAACAAAGAAGAAGCGATGGAAAAAAAATCAGAAAAAACGAACATCTATTTCTGTATCTACTATTATTGGTCAAAATGTACCCTATTTTGGCCTGTTTTGGGAATATTTTTGAGAAAATATTTTGGGATATTTTTTGAGAATTCTCGACAAAATTCTCAAATCCATTTTACTACCCTACTCTAGCGATGGAATCGCCCCCCAGCACACCACCTCGCAAAAGGGGCACCGAATTATCGGTTGGTAGGCGCTATGCCATGGCGGTAGAAATTGCGATGGGCATTCAGCCGGGGTTGTCAAGGATTCCCAAGGGCGTGCTTGACCCGATCTGCGAAATCTACGGTGTTGGAAGNCGCAAAAGGGGCACCGAATTATCGGTTGGTAGGCGCTATGCCATGGCGGTAGAAATTGCGATGGGCATTCAGCCGGGGTTGTCAAGGATTCCCAAGGGCGTGCTTGACCCGATCTGCGAACGCTACGGTGTTGGAAAGAAGTACCCGTCCAAGTTGTGGAAACGGGTCAAAACCCAGATCGACAACACCCAGGAGCTGGACCTTTCAAACGAAGCAAAGTGGGCGGCCGTCGCTTCTCACCCCTTCAAAGATTGCGGCGGCATCGAGTCCAAGTGATGATGAGGAAGAGTAGTCTAGTCGANCCCAAGTGTCTTGGTTTTAGTGTGGTTCACTACTATACTGATTTTAGTATAGGGGGCGCGACATGGATCGTTGAGTAGAGGGGGGGGTTGGATGAGGGCCCTACTGTTGCTTGCTTTGCCCCGTAAGTGTCTTGGTTTTAGTGTGGTCCCCCCAAGTGTCTTGGGTTTAGTGTGTGACCCCCAAGTGTCTTGGTTTTAGTGTGGTTCACTACTATACTGATTTTAGTATAGGGGGCGCGACATGGATCGTTGAGTAGAGGGGGGGGTTGGATGAGGGCCCTACTGTTGCTTGCTTTGCCCCGTAAGTGTCTTGGTTTTAGTGCGGTCTCCCCAAGTGTCTTGTTTTCAGTGTGGGGGCCACTATTATGCTGTTTTTAGTAT